GCTGTGCGGCGCTGCCGGGCGATGCGTGCTGCTGGGCGGCCCGCTATGTGCGCTACTGCCTATGACTGCACCGTAGTGCGCTGCCGGGTGGTGTGTCCATAACATCGTCAGATTTGAAGAATGAACCCATTTCTTCTTTTTTAGTCCCTTCTGTTTCTACTTCCGGTTTTGGGTGGAATCTAGGGTTGAGGAGAACAATAAGGGATACAGGCTTGGGCTACTTATTGTCCTTACTATCCATCCTTGAAAATGTTTTCTTGGACTTGAGTAAGGATGACTCCAGAATTTGGACCCCCCTGCTCCAATGGTTCCTTTTCTTCTGTGTCGTTTTTCGAGACTTTGGTCCAACCTTCTTCTCCCTTGGGGTTGCCCTTCCCTGTTAATGAGATTTGGAGCAAACCCATTCCTCCTTGGGTTGGTAGTTTTTGTTGAGAAACTTTCCTGGAAAGAATAAACGTAAATGACTCGCTTCAAAGAAAGAGACCTAGTTCCTATTTACTTCCCAATAGGTGTGTTCTTTGCAAAGTTGATGGGGAAACGGTTTACCACCTTATGGTTACTTGTCCGGTTACTAAAACTGTTTGGGAGTGGGTTTTTCCCTTTTGGGATGTACTTGGAATCCCCCCGTAAGTATGCAAAGCTTGTTCTCTCCTTTGTTCTCAAGTGGCCTAAGAAAAGAGGGAAGATCATGTGGAGAAGCTCTAGGGCAGCAGTGTGTTGGTCCATATGGGAAGAGAGGAACTCTAGACATTTTAGACAAGGAAAGAACTATGGAGAACTTAACTGAATTGATACACTTAAGGGTTGGTCACTAGTCAGACAAGGAAAGAACTATGGAGAACTTAACTGAATTAATAGACTTAAGGGTTGGTCACTAGCTGTAATCTTTGGAGCTATTTTCAGATTATTCCATGGCTGACATTTTGAGAAAGTAGAAAGAAATAGTTACCTTGGCCCAATGCAAGAGGACCTGTAGACCTTCTTGGTCCCCCCCTCCTTTAGGATTCATAAAATTGAATTTTGATGGTAGTATCTTAAGGAATCCTGGGCCTTCTGGGATTGGGGGAGTTTTCAGGAATGAGGCTGGGATTATTAATGCCATGTTCTCTGGTCCTATTGGAGAGGTTGACTCTCTTAGGGCTGAGATTTTAGCAGTTCTGGAAGGAATCAAAAGAGCAAGAGAATTAAACATTCGGTGCTTGGTCATTGAAGGGGACTTGGAGGTGGTGATTAGGTGGCTGAAGGAAGACAGCAATGGCTTGTGGAGCTACAGAAATGAAAAGGAAAAATTCAAATGGCTGAGTAGGGATATTGAGGTGAAGTACAGTTAGTGAAGAGAAGTGCTAACTCAATTGCTGATGGGTTAGCCAAGCAAGGGGCGCTTAAGGATTCTATGTTTTGGGCTAATTTTTAGCTTTCTTTTTTGTTCTCTGTTGCGGGGGAGTTAATATTTTACCTCTCCTTTCTTGTACTTAAGTTTCACAATTTTTATTATCTAATAAAGCATCTAGTTATTGATAAAAAAAATACTTTTATCACATTTATAGAAAAATGTAATGTGGTTGATATCAATGTCCATGGCATAAATGTCAATTCATGACAATAGACATTACCAATAGAAGGCTACCTTGCACTATTGTGAAACTTTTTTGGTTGGAATTCTCTTCACCCAATCAGCAATGAATAGGTCGGTGCTAAGTTTGATTAGCAAGCCCCAGTCCCAACTTGTCCACAATTGACTTAGCAATAACATTAACTTCATCCCCACTACCAACAACTATGTCATGCACTAGTGCTTCTATTCAAACTTCAAACAAAAAGTAGGAACTTTCTCTTCAAACTAGGACCCTTCTACTCTGGTCCTAGCAAATATAAGAAACCTGAAATTACTATTTTGGGTTGACCTTCCTGCCTAGCCATGGATCCACCAAACTATAAATCAACCTAGTGTTCTGATACTAATTGATGCAGAATTTTTCAACAACCTAGTGTATTGACACTCTTTTATTGCTTAGGAGAAAAATAAAAGAATAGAATGTGTTCTCTACAAGATTTGTTGACACTTTATTATGGACCCAAAATTGCAACTTCCAAATTCTATTTGGACTTTAACTCCTACTTGTATTCTAACTTAAAACAAAAAGTAGAAACTTTCTTTTAAAACAAGTAGGGCTTTAACTCCTAAATATAAGAAACCAGAAATTACTATAAGTTGTCTTTTATTATAAACAAGAATAATGAAGACTATTGGTTAACCTGTTGACTAGGCAAAGCACATTTACCTCACCTAGGTCCAGGCACAACGCCTTCAAAAGGCATGTGCCTGATGTGCCTAGGCATGCACCTGATGCACCTTACACCTCAGCTTAGGTGTGTGACTCAGTTATTATTATTATTATTATTATTATTATTATTATTTTGATAAGCAAAGCAGAAACTTTTATGAGAGTGCACCTCAGTTAATTTTTGTGTTTTTTTTTGTGCCTTGCACTTTTAAAACATTGAACTTATAGAGATCAAAAGGCAGTCAAATTTAAGTCTTTAGTTGGAGCACTTCCACATGTCAGAAGCTTAAAATCTACAGTATTTTAGTACTACAAGTATACTTTAATGCCACCAAAAATCAGCTACATTGAACAAGATTTGATTGACCAATCAACCATTTCTTTTTTGATTGGCAGTGCAACAAGGTTGGCAACAACTTAAATTTATATTACTGGAGTACCCCTAGTGTAAAACAAAGAGTATATTGTATCCCAATCCAAAAATCACTAAAATAACCCTGTTTTATGACTAATAAACCTTAACAACTAATTCAAATACCCCCTAACAGAAATAAGTCAAATAAAAATGCTAGAATTAACACAAATTATCAAAACATAATTAAAACAACAAGATTGATAAAAGCAGGGGTGCGATTGCTTCCAATTTTTGTTCTTTTTAGACCTGTCACATGTTTCCTCATACTTGAGTGATGCAACCTCTACATCGTGTGCCCATGAGTCCAAGTCTCATGGTTCTGAATGAGCCCTAGCACAGCTTACCCTAACAATTTAACTTCTAAAGGAATTAGCAAGTTTCATAGGTCTTATTCCATTCCTTTTTATTGCTTCTGTTACCCTGTTGTCTGTTGTGGTATGTATTTTATGCAAGGTAGAAACCTAGGCGAACTGCAAAAGATAATATCCTTTCAGAACAAAAGTTACTGGTCTGCAAGTCCATTCTTAAGAAGTCAGAATGTTTAAGAATGTTCTTTTAGTGGTGGTGAGACCTAATCATCCCTTCCTGTGGGTTGGTGAGCCCCTACAACTTAAGTACAATTTACATGATTGTGGAGTGCTCTTGTTGCATCTAGTCCAGAACAAAGTTATACAATTCTTATTCAATCCATAAACAGTTCCCCCCTAGCAGTGTTGACCAGTTGACTAATTGACTAAAACCAATTCTTCTTTGAAAAGATTGATCGGTGGGTTGTTTCTTCTCCTGTAGTTTCCTTTATCGAAACTATGGTTCCCCATTCAAGAACAGTTTTCATTATCAAATTACAAAATAGGTATTAGAACTTTACAGGGTTCCCTCCTCATATATCATACTACAGCTTGAGAGTTGAGAGAATCCTATACAATACTGGTGCATAAGATTCTAAAATTGCAACTATGGAAAACCCAAAATGCTCAGGTCCATGTATTTTATTTCTTGTACTTGTCTGATGCTAACTGATAAGAAAAGAAGTTTGATGCAAAACTTAAAGCAGTCTATATAGTACTAAGCTGATGCAACATGGAAGCTTATTTATATTGTACCAGTATGTAGGTGTGCATCATGTACTATCTATTTGATGGTGACCAGTTCTTTAGTTGTCTTGACACCTGAAATTTGTGATGATCAATACAGGCAGTGAAAGATGCAATTGGAGCAGGTGTTGATGGATATGATGCTGATGTCAGAGCTTCTGTGAGGAAGGCTGCACATGGCTTGCGCTTAACACGGGAGGCTTCCATGAATATTGCTAGCAAGGCGGTAAATATCCAATACCATCATGCCCTTACTTCTGTGTGGATTTATGGTCAGTTTTTAATCAGTGTTTTAAAAACGCATCTGGAGGCCGATCTGCTTTTCCTTCTGGGTGGCAGGTCAGCAGTTGAACCGTCTGAATGCCCCACATATAGAGATGTTACTTATGTAGAAAATAATACATTTATAAAATGCACAATTTCAACGATGCTCCACAAGTATAAATACATGTGCATAGACATAGGTACTACTAAAATAATTAAACATGTAATGTGGGGCCATTTTCTCAAATCTATTCAGTGCTCTTCTTGCTTGCCTATCTCGTAAAGGCACTTCTAGAGGGGTGGAAAATTTGGGGTATGAGTAGAAAAGGCAGAATTCTGTGGAAAGCAATTCCTCTAGCAGTGCTGTGGTCGATTTGGAGGGAAAGAAATAGAAGGAATTTCGACCAGAAGCAACTTCAGGTTGAAAGTGTGATAAATTTAATTGTAGATGACCTCAGAGGGTGGATGAGTTCCAATTTGCTTTTCAGGGGGGATGTTCTGGCTTCTTGTGTGGCTGTAATTTTTTTGAGGTTTCTTAAAGCTGTATCAGTCATTCAGTTGTACAATCTCTTGTACAGTGAGCAGTGTTGTATGCTTTTCCTTTGATTAATAAAATTTCACCTTACCATTAAAAAAAAAAAAACAAATTGTCATTTTTAACTGGAGACCTTTTGTCTGGGTCAAGAAGGTCAACAGTTCGACCACTTTAAAAGGTGGGTGATGAGTTCATAGTCCAATAGGTCGGGTCAATGGTGGGTTGAAAACACTTCTTTTATATATTTTGAACTTGCAGGGATTCTGTTCCCTATTTTTCTTTTCATTTTTTACAATTCTGTTATAGATTTTTTTTTTCTGGCACCTCATGTGTCAGTTCAAAAGCACATTCGGTAGTCCTTTATCAAATTAGTAAAGTTTGTTTTGTCTGGACTACTGCTTATGGATAGTTGACATTACTCTTTTAACATATGGTGCATGCAAGAGGTGGTCAATCAATAAAATGTTATGAACTAGAGTCATATGCACCAATGTTTTAAAAACCGACCTGGAGACCAAACCGTTTTTTCCTCTGTCTCATGGGTCACTGGTTTGACAGATAGTCGAACGAGTCAGAAAGGGCGACATCATCACCCATATATGTAATATAAATATTATTTATATTTAATTTATATTTTTTTAATTCAGTTTTTAATATATTATATGTAAAAAATGCTGAAAACAACCATTTGAGGCCAAAAAGAGGGGGGTTCTTTCTCAAAAATAGTGGGGCAAGGCACCTATGGCTCTTTGGATGCATGAATTTCAAAAAGTTAGAAGTTACCCAAAATAAAGAAAGATCACCCCAATCAGACAACGGAGCGCAAAGTTATGGCCTCCAGAAGTTTGCATACGCATTCAGTGTGCAACTTCTGACTTGTCACCAACTCGAACAGGTCAATGGTTTAACTGTCCGGGTTGGACAGTTTTTGACCAGGTCAACGGTTTTGATCAATTCTCAGGTTTTAGGAGAGTCGGACCCGGAATCCTGGCCGAGTGATGGCCCAACTGGCTGGGTCAATGGTGGGTTGAAAACACTGATATGCACTGAGCATAAAGCACAAGTCACTGGCTTGTACAATTCGCAGCAAATTTTTACTAGATTTATTAGTTTCCAGTTCTTGAGAAAATAGTTTTTGTAATTATAGAGTATCTGATCCAGCATTTCCTCTTATGCCATAAATGATGTCTATGTAGGTGCGTAAGATGTTTATGAACTACATTAAACGAGCACGAGCAGCTGGCAACCGTACAGAGGCTGCAAAAGAGTTAAAGAAGATGATAGCATTCAACACCTTGGTTGTGACTGAGTTGGTATCAGACATCAAAGGAGAATCCACAGACACTGCAACACGTGAGCCTGATAAGGAGGAAGAAAAGCAAATTGAGGAGGAGGAATGGGAATCCCTTCAAACACTTAGAAAAACTAGACCCAGCAAAGAGCTTGTAGAAAAGCTAGAAAAGCCTGGTCAGACAGAAATAACTCTCAAGGATGAGCTTCCAGAAAGGGATAGAACTGACCTTTACAGGACATATTTGCTATTCTGCATTACCGGGGAGGTGACTAGAATTCCTTTTGGGGCACAGATAACCACAAAGAAGGACAACTCAGAATATTTGCTGCTAAACCAGCTTGGTGGGATCCTAGGGTTGACTGGTAAAGAGATTGTGGAAGTCCACAGGAGCTTGGCTGAGCAAGCTTTCAGGCAACAAGCTGAGGTGATTCTTGCTGATGGGCAGCTGACCAAGGCCAGGATTGAGCAGCTTAATGAAGTGCAGAAACAGGTTGGCTTGCCAGCAGAGTATGCACAGAAAGTTATCAAGAGTATAACAACGACCAAGATGGCAGCTGCAATTGAAACTGCTATCAGTCAAGGAAGGCTCAATATAAAGCAGATCCGAGAACTGAAAGAAGCAAGTGTAGATTTGGACAGCATGATCTCTGAAAGCCTACGGGAGAGCCTCTTCAAGAAAACTGTAGATGAAATTTTCTCGTCAGGTACTGGAGAGTTTGATGAAGTGGAGGTCTATGAGGGGATCCCATTGGACCTCAACATAAATGGTGACAAGGCAAAAGGAGTTGTTCATGATCTTGCCCGGACAAGACTATCCAACTCATTGATTCAGGCTGTGGCACTTCTTAGGCAGAGGAATCGTGCGGGAGTGGTCTGGACTTAGTTACTCGTATCTTGAGTGAATTCTATTTAATTTGCATGTATTTATATTGGTCTGATTAGTCATTTCCATTGTAGGTTTCCTCTCTAAATGATATGCTAGCATGTGATAAGGCTGTGCCTTCTGAGCCATTATCGTGGGAGGTGCCGGAGGAGGTTGCTGATCTTTTTGCCATCTACCTGAAGAGTGACCCAGCACCCGAGAAGCTCTCTCGCTTGCAGTATTTGCTTGGTTTAAGTGACTCGACAGCTGCTGCTCTAAGAGAAGTTGGAGAGAGGGAGTTGCCAATTGGAGATGAAGAGGAAGAGTTTGTATTTTAAGCCTAAGTTTTGGTGAAATAGCAAAATATTGAATTTGATTTCTTCCATTATAGGTTGCAAGTATGCCTTTTTTCTTCCTTTTCTTGCCTATGAGCAGGAAGGCAAGTATGTTATAGAAGCACCTGAGAAGTTAATAATAGTCGGCTGGTTCTTCACTTTATTGTGTAATTAGAGATTCATTTTGAATGAGAGAATCGAGTAAAATTTCTTAATATTTTTTTTTGAAATACAAAATGATTCACCATCATATTAAACTGGTTTTAAAAGAGCTCCAAATTCAGAATTTTATCAACAATCCATGTACATACAGCAGATACAATCACGTCAACGTCACGAAAACGTTGGTCCACTTAAAGATTCTGCATGTTTCTCTTGTGCACTCCATCGAACATTCAACCATGATGATTGTGTGTGCGCATAAGGTTTTAACTTGGTGCTTTGTTTTCATACATTTGACTTGAAAGAAGCATTAATATAAATCCTTGTCGTACACTTCTAATTGTTGCATTACATGTGTTTATTGAAAATTTTTACCATCTTCTTACTCCCGTGTTTATCCTTCTAATTGATGCCATCAGACAACCAACCAGAGTAGAAATCCTGGTTCTTTTTAGTGCTTGTTCTTCACCTCTGCCGGGATTTGTTTTGTTTGATTTAGTTTTGAAACACAAACTGGTTGTGGGGAAGCATTAAATGTAGCTAATCCAGATTGAAAGAGTATTGCATTGAGAGCAAAAGGAACAAGCGTTAGAATTTGGATAAGGGGGAAACTAAAATACATTCCCGCGTTTTTCAATTACAAGGATCAATGGTCCTTACACGGCACTGCTCTCTGGCACGCTAGAGATGAACAGAGTTGCTCTCTGAAACCACTTTAGGCATTGCACCCTGAAGTAAGAATGTTGGTTCTGCTGTGATTGTGCAACGGTTTCTTCTAGATCCGGCCCACGGGTTCCATGGCAGATTGGCATCTATACCTGGAATAGGACTAGTTTCAGCAATTTTGTCCCCATGTGGAACCCTAAATGGACTAAGTTATAGTCGTATGGATTCTCTTATTAGCACAGATTTGAGAATAGGATGCTACTGTATTGTCCCATTTCATGAGGCCGAGTAGGCTGCATTGTGGGTATTAAAATAATTCTATATGGAATTATGAGGTTAGGACACATTGATCATAGAGGAAGCTTATGATGAGCAAAAAAGACCAAATTCAAGGTTGCACAATTTCATCCTACCGATTTCGCTTGATCACCATGCACTCATCTTTTGCATTATATATCTATGGAAGCTCCTGAGTTGTTTTCTTTTTTCTTTTTTTTTTTTTTTCTTTCTGGATCATTTACTACACTCCCATAATCTCATGTATTTACTAAAACGAATCCTCATAATACTAAAACATCCCATATAGTCAAGGATCAAAATTTCAATACATATCAGGTCGTCTCAGCTGATACGCATTGTATCAGGGCCTTTCTGATATGCCCTCACAGGGGGGTGTTTCGGGTCAGCGAGTAGTTCAGGGGGTAGACCAGCCTTAAACCAGCCCCTCTGAACCAGATTCAAAAAAAAAAAACAAAGAAAACAATACCAATACAGGCCGATATGCCCTACCGACATATTGCCCTATTCTAAACCTTGCATATAGTTTGCAATTGCTTTACTTAGGGCTGTTCGTAGTGCGGATGAGATAACTATGTGGGCTGAACCACATCATGCCTATATAGGTGTTCAAGGTGTGGTATAGTTCAATTCAAACCTTGTATTTTGATTCTATGTATCTTACATACATACTTGTGGGATGATATATACTATTGATCAAGTATGAAAACTATTGTGTTTTATAAATAAGATAAATAATAAAATATTATATAAATTAACTGTGATTAAAATAAAATATTAACATGTATTGACTAACAAGTAACAAGTATAAAAATTACAAAAAGTATTAAATATAAATAAGAGGTTAATAAAATAAAAAAACTTTTAAAAGTATATAAAAATTTGATAAAAAATTCTTACAAATTTAAAAATAAAAGTATAAAGACTCTCTTGTGGTAAAAAAGTAGGGCGATGAGAAGCATAAAATCACTTTCGAGGTATAAAACCATGTCTCACACATGCATTGTTGAACCATTCAGTTCCATTGATTTTTTTCTTGGGTTACAAGCAAATCTGTTTTTAGAACATAATAGAGCCTTGGGCAAGAATCTACAGCCAACAAAGTTGAGGAGTCTTCGAAAAAACATTTTGAGACAATAGCAATCGAATTGAGAGAGAAATGAGTGATTCTTGAAAACTTAATGTTCATTTACTTGATTTACGCTCCTTAAATAATTTCTGAAGAGTCATGGAGCAAAGAAAATTGTTGATTTAGAAAAGACACATCGAACAGTCACAATTTTAAACATTGTTACTGTTAAAAAGGTAGTTAATGGTTAATAACTGTTAACTTTGAATAGTATCCCTTGATTACACCCTATCAAATCATAGCCATTGATGTTTCAATGGTCAGCTTTACACCAAAAGTCAAAGTGTGCTTCTAAAACGCCTTATGTGCGCGCATTGCATGGTAGCAAGCCTCCATACTCTCCTCTTATATTTCTGAGTGTAAATAATTTTCTATTTCAAAACTCAAAACAAGTTTAATAATTTTTCAATGTGGGACAAGTTGAAAACTGGTTTTAGTAAGAAAAGAAAAACTTTTTTCAAAATATGTGTGTGAGTGTGTTTTTCATGTAATTGATCAATCAAACCTCATTGGATTTAATCTCTAATGAGATTAAAATCCAATAGTACTGAAGGAATGTTGATGCTAATCCAATGACTCACCGCCCCTTGTATATGTTTCCTCCTTGCTCTAATGGAGGTACCAAAGAAATGCCTTATGTTCCTCTTTGATAAGTAAAATCATTTGTTTCCTCTATATATTTATTATTCCAAGGACTCACCCCTCATTATATATTTTAAATGATCTAAACTTGTAAGGGGGAATGTGGATGTTATTGTTTTGATAAATGAATGTGATGTTACTTTCGGTTATCAAACCATTTTTATTGAATCTAATGGAAACATTGAACTTCTGTCATGGTTCACAGGTTTCTATGCTAACAAAATTATCTTAACTAGAAGTTTTTTTTTTCTCATTTTAGTGTTAGTAGATTGGAAATCATGATTTGATACATAATTAGGTAACCCAGGAAGATTTAAGATTTGCGTAATTTTGAGGTTACTATTCAGCTCCTAGAGAAGTTTCAGGAACAAGCGAAAGAAGAAGAAAAGGAGAGCATGATTCCTCCCCTTCCAACAAAAGAATCTTAACTGACCTACAAAACCTTAACACAAGATCACCTGACTATAAATTCCTGTTTAGTATCCGAGTTTCAAGTTCCTAAGAACAAAAGGCGATTTGATGCTTGCTGTTTGGATTGGCACACAAGCATGGCATTCTGATGCAGTGACCCCTACTGATAGCTTTGTAGTTGCCTCTAGATATATCCACTCGAAGGTCTACCATGCATCAAGGTTATGGTATGTATGTGTTAATGTTATTGAGGCACAAGATGGAAGAGAAGAGTTCAAAGACCGTAGTGTATTGTGTGCAAGTGGACTAATCGGAATAAATTTTCTTTCCTTTTTTGTTTTGTATGACTAAAGTTCCAAAGGCTATCAAGAAAGGAAACAAGTTATTTTGTATTTAGTTTTAATTTGGATGAATAAAATTACAAGTTTATTTAATAATTGAGCTTTGTAATCAATTACAATCAAATTGCAAGTTATTTGTAACAAATTCTAGGTTATTTTGGTAGGTGTAAAATAAAAAATCTATGGCTGCCGCTATAAATCTATAATGGCAATGGATTTACCTGCTAAAAGATAAAACTGCTACTGAGAATGTGGCGTCGCTAAAACTATCACTAGAACTTTTTGTGACAGTTTACTGATTGCCGGTAAACATTTTAATGGCAGTTTTAGAAATTTTAGTAGTATTGAAAATGCTGCCAAGTCATTTTTCTTGTAGTTTTGATCGCCTTGCTCACTTCTTGGTCACTCAGACATGGATTGAGCAGGATGCCCTAATGGGAAAAGATTCACTGGCAGCTATGAAATTTTTCTTGGACCCAATCTCGTTGCCTCAAGCTCTAAGAAACAAGTTACAATGGCTCGTTAAAACACTGAATCCAAATTCCTTGTGTGTACTAATGTTGCGATGGAGGTCTTATGGATACATTCTTTGTTGGCTGATCTAACATGGGCTCTATTCTCAACTCTTCCTTGTTGATCTGTTGTGACAACACTGGGGCCACATACCTTCAGTCTCGTCTAGTGTTCACACATATCATGTTCAGATTGACTTTCATTTTCTTCAAGACCTAGTGATCAGAAGAGATGTTTGGGTTTAGTTCCTATCGTTGAGCGATCAGTTAGCAAATCTATTCACTAAACACATCACTAGTTCACGTTTTGTTGATCTCCATTCCAAGCTTCATGTCTATTTTGGACATTTTGCTTAAGGGGGCATGATGTAGACCTTGGATCCTAATCGTTCATCGACTCATTGTCCTACCATTCATGAGACTCTCTCTCTCTCTCTCTCTCTCTCTCGCGTTTAATCTTTTCCGTTTTGGTAAAATTCTGAAACCTCCCTTAAAGTTTTTCTGACCACTGCTGAAACATCCCCTAAAGTGGTAATTGCAATTACCTATCCTGAGCTTTTTGGCATAGTATCAAGTAAAACCCCTTTGTTAATACCCTCTAATAAGAAGCACAAAAATGTCCAAAACATCAATGCAGTTGTTATTGAGGCTGATTTCTACAATAGAACAAAGAATACAAACTTTGTGAACAATAAAAAACAGTTTAAAGTTGTAGTTTTACCTTTGACCAATTGATATGACGGGCAAATATAGAAAATAAATCAATTTCAGAAATGTAAACATTTTGGTCAAATAGTTCAAGGGAGGTGATTGCAATGAGTCAAGGTCTCCCCTGAAGCTTCATATCTACTTGCAACTATGTTAGAAAGTTCAGAGGAGGTGATTGCAATGAGTCAAGGTCTCCCCTGAAGCTTCATGTCTACTTGCAATTGAATTGAATTCTAATCGAATAGTTTGGGCTTGAATTTGATTAGGCTTGATTTGAATTCAAACCTTGGGATAGGCTTGATTAGTTATTCAAGCTCAAACTTGACCAATAAAAAGTATGGCTTGATTAACACATACATACATACATACATACATACATGCATACATACATACATACATACATACATATATACATTGTACATATATATTATAGAATACAAAAATATATTTTCAAATATATTATAAAAATATACTTTTATATTCTATATAATGTAGGAATATACTATATATTATGAAAAACATCATGTATATATAATATACAAATATATTTATTTTCGAGCTTTCAAGCCAAACTCAAGCTCATTGAATATTTAATTGAACCGAGCTCAAGACAGAAAAGTATAATTTGAATCGAACTCGAACTTGAACTAGAACCTAAATAATAGCATTTTAATCAAACTTAACCAAAACATGTCAAATTCGGCTTGGCTCGACTTGATTGCACCCCTACACCAAACTTTGTATTTGTTCTTACCCCCAAAAAAAAAACTTTCTATTTGTTTTCTTCATTATTTTTTATTGTTGCACTGTCTTTTTCTAATTGTCATTTTCTCTTTCATCTTCCACATGAGTTAGTTTGTCAAAAGAACATCAAGAAATTGCATTTGGTAAGTCATTTTATCTCATGTTTGGGTGGGTAAGCCCGTTGGAACTTAGAATTGGATTATGTAGCGGTTGGTTCAAGTTTGAATAAGAAAATTGACTATTATCCTTTTAAAATACGCGGTAGACATCCATAGTTGAAAGTTGCACGCATTCACCAAGGAGAGTACTCATCCCCCAAACAGCTTCCTTCCTCCTGAGACGACCAACAAGCTCATCAGGTGCTCTCACTGAGGATGTAATCGCTTGTCCGCAGCATGCCTTCTTCAGTACTCGATCGATCGCTCTGTTTGTAAGCTTGCAATCCTGTCTGAAGAAGCAATAAACCAGAGGATGGGTTGGAGCCTTAAACTAACAATCTTATTACTTTGTGTGGAAGCAGCGGCATCAGTCACCCCCCTCACAATGCCCGGTTGCCGTGAATATTGCGGGGACGTTAGCATCCCCTATCCATTCGGTGTCGGAGATTCCATCTGTTTCAAAAATCCATATTTCGAGTTGTATTGCAACGAATCCTCCTTTTACCAGCATCCAGTCCTCTTTTTTGGAAAGGGGAGCAACGTACCCATCCTGAATATATCACTAGAATTGGGCTTACTGAAGGTCGATCTCTTGCAGGCTCGCGATTGCTACGACAGGTCGGGTATCAGTGTAGACCGATTTAATCAGTGGTTTGCATTCGCAGAATTTTTCACCTTATCACAGACTCGTAATAAGTTCACAGCCATAGGCTGTGATACCATCGCTTTCATGACGGACTCTGCCGGCGAAAGCTTTACGACTGGTTGTGTTTCTGTCTGCAACAGCCTTGACAACGTGACCGGTGGAGTTTGCTCTGGCATTGGATGCTGCCAGACACCCATTCCCACCGGATTCAGAAATGTGACTATGAGTCTGGGCAGCGTCTTTAATCACACCAACTCCTTTGATTTCAACCCATGCAGTTATGCCTTCTTGGCTGACCAAGAATGGTTCAATTTCTCTAGGTCAGACCTGTCGTCTACCGGGAATAGATTGAGAACCGCTCCGGCGGTGGTTGAGTTTGTCGTCGAGAAGAAGACTTGTGAAGAAGCTGGAAACAAATGTGGCCCCAACAGCAAATGCTCTTATTCCCACGACGGCGCTGGATATCGTTGTCACTGCAACCTAGGTTACCAAGGCAACCCATACCTTCCACAAGGCTGTCAAGGTAATGAATTTTAATTTCTTTGCAATTTTTTAGGTTGGTCAATGCAAAATTTAGGAGAATATATATTTCTATTACAAATGATTTGAGTTATCAAATTTGATGTTTCTATTATAAATATCAACACACAATTCAATGCCTATATTTTTTTAGTGGAATCATCTGTGAATATCAAATCCTGTTTGTCTCAATTGATAGGTAGCTGGTTTGTCCCAATAAAGATTGCCATTCAAATCCTGCTATCATTGACTTAGGGAAGAGAGTTATGTGTAAATATCAAATGGTGTGCATTGTACTATTAAAAAAAGTAAAAGCCCCTATGGGAATATCGGCATTTGACTAATACCAAAACAATATATTTTTTTGAGCAAATTTTTTAAACTATTCTTATGGTTTAACTAATTGATTAATTCTATCTTTAAATTTTTGACAATTGTCAAAAATCTTGTTTTCATTAATGTCCATTAATAAAGAGACAACAAAGACTATTTTAGCTATTATCCTCCAAAATTTCAAAATGAAAGAAGAAAAAGGAAGACTGAGAAAGAGAATAGAGTAATGTTTAAATATCAAATCTCATTATGCGAATTCGAATCTCATTATCATTAACTTTAAGAATAGAGTAATGTCTAAATATCCAATGGTGTGATGCTGTGCTATTAAAAAAAGTAAAACTATTTTTTTTAATAAAACTCTTAATTTGGACACAGGCATTTGATAAATACTCAGAAAAATGTATTTTTTTAATGAAAGTGATTATCTAATATGATGTGATAAAACTATTTTTCAAAAGTTTGTATTACCAATCTGAATTGGTCAACAAAATAATACCAAACACAACCTAAATTAAACTAGACTTCTGAGGGTTCTCTCTTATAACATGGCTAACCGAGGTTTCTCTTTCATGTCTTGTGCTGGATTTGATGATGAAGATACCGACGAGTGTGGAGACATACACAACAATCCGTGCGTGAAAGAAGCCCAATGCATTAACACAAAGGGTAACTACAGCTGCTCTTGTCGACGTGGATATCGTGGTGATGGCAAAGTATATGGAATTGGCTGTATCCGGGGTACTAAAGCATTTCCCATTATGCCGGTTGTTGGAGGTAATTTTCTCTTTTTTCGGTAAATTACAAATACCATGGATAAGTGACAAAGAAACCCTTGAACTTTCATTTACAAATATCCCCTTACCTTGCAACAAATACTTTCTTCATTAGAGTTCCGTGGGTTAGTTTTGAAAAAGATCCTCATTCAGTTGTTTAAATTTTTTATATCCCACTATTACCCTTTTTTTTTATTTGAATGGATTATTAATTGATTAATTTTCTAAATATAATATTCAAGTCTTCTTGGTTAATTTAATAGGTACTTGTGGATTTTTAGATAGATTCAATATTCAGATAAAATGGTAGAGGTTTCTTTCTAATAGATATAACTTTAATGTTCCATTTGGTTTTTTCTTGGCTTATTGGAAAAAAAGGAGTGGATAACTTTTATATTTTAAGATGAAGATAGGCATTTTTGTTAGTAAAATTAAACAAGAATTTAAAGAAACTTGTTTTTTTTCATGTCAATGAAATGATTCGTGTTATTTTAGTTGGTTTTGTTAAAAAAAAATGAAGGTACTTTGTGATCAATTAGGATTAACAGAAAAAGGGCAAGGAAGAGAAAATAAGGAAAGTTCAGGTGGGTATTTTGGAAATTTAACACATGCTATCATATATAACTTAATAGCCAAGGGGTATTAGTTGCAAAGTAAAAGTTCAGGGGGATGTTTGTCACAAATGAAAATTCAAGGGGTGTTCGTCACTGACCTCATTATGCAAGGTCTTTATAATTTACCTTTTTTGAAAGCCAAGACAATTTTCTTATTTCAATTTATAGATCATATACAACACCAATACACAACATACTACTTTTTTTTAAGGTACTGCAATTAGAGCTCGGTTTGGAAAGAGTATAAATACAAATATGTATCGTACAAATGCATATAAAATATAAGGTTTTGCACTCTACATATTTGTATTTATTCTCCTTCCAAACTGAGCCTAGACTGCATTTGGGAAGAGTTTTCTAGGTGTTTGATAATTAAAAATATATTTTTATATTAATAATAATAGAAAATATGGATATTCCAATACATGTTTGCATTTAAACGAGAGCAAATTTTCGCGCTCAAGTTGCTTAATGTAAAGAAACAAAAGTGGATTCCAAACTCGGGTTAGTATATGTACTTATCACATCTAAAAATTAATCATTTAACAAGAAAACAAAATTATCATTATAAATCTAAATCAACTCTGTATTATTCTAAATCAGACATATTTGTATTTGTATTTGTACCGGTCATTTTTATATTTGTATTGCAGCCTTAGGAGCAAATCTATCTCTATATCTCTATATATAAAAGAAACATTTGATTCATCCCCTTTTGTCCAACTATTCAGTACCTATAATACCCGTTCCATTTATACAAAATTTCATTCAACCTTTATATAATCAATTAATAAGTTTATATTCAAACTTTTATGTATTTAAATAACATACCCTTGTTCTTTATCCAATTTATTATTCTATCCTTTCTTTATATCCCAATTTGAGCCATTGGTTCGTCTCCTATTCAGACAATTTCCCATCTTATCCTTACAAACTATTAATTAATTAATAGGTTTATGTTTAAAGTCAAACATGATTTTCAATTGAGTTGGACTAAGCTTGGCTTGGACTAAGGCTATCTACGGTTTCAATTCAGACCCAGCCTGAATTTAGATAAAGCCCAAGATTTTAGGCCCAGACCCAGCGCAAAACCCAAAAATTCAAGCTTTATCTATGTAAACCCTTATTTATAATATAAAAGTTACACCTCTATCCAAGAAAGCATAAATTTAATCCAAAAGATCCCATTATTATGGCATTTCTTTCAAATTATTTTTCCTATAATACCTCAAAAGCCTTAACCAGTTTAAGGGTGTTTACACTCTGATTTGGTTCTATTTGAAAATCTCATACCAAATTAGTAAATTACAATTTAAGAAATTCTCAATCCAAATCAAACTATTTTATTATAGAAATCAAAGTAGACTAAATTGTTCGGTTTGGTTTGGTTTCTAATATGGTTTGGGCCATTTTATTGGGATTAACCCAATTAGAAAGCCCAAATAACATCACACTTATACAAATATGAGTATAATTCAAATATTAAATTGAAATATTAACAAGTGCTACCTACTACTATTATACATTCACACATTCTTAGGAAGGGATGAAAGATCCATCATAAGGATGGCCGAACCCTACAGGAAGGTTGGGCGAAATTTCAAAAATTTCTTTCTCTCCCATGTGGAAATCTAATTCCCTATTTTAGAAAACTACATTTTTAAGGATCAATCTTGAACCTAAACTAGACCAGATCTGAAACCAAAAGGGAGTGAAGGGATATACTTGATACAAAGTAGTAATAACCTCCAATGAAGGTATTCACGCCCAATGATAAATCCAAAGACTGCTTGCACCGAAAATGACACAGTGCAGGATGAAGCAGAACCAGCAGGATGGTTCTTCAGCAAGAACCGAATTCTTCAGCAAGAATCTAATGGAGGGCTAGTGAGCATGACTTCAGATTACCTTTTCTACCAAAAGGTAATATCAAGAACTCTTCTTGATTGCTTCCATAGGTGGAGATCGAACTGGTATGGCGGCAAGAGCAGGAGAGAAGGAGACAGTGCAGTTAGACTGTGTTGTCTCTCTCTGGAAATTAGCAGTCACTTAGATGATTTCTGTTGTGTAGTAAGGGTTTGCCCTGCTCTCCTATTTATAGCCTTAAAGAGAGGTTCTCCTAATCCCATTAGGAGTTTCTTAATCCACAATGATCAAACACTATCTGACAAAAGAGGACCTCCCCCTCGGTTTCAAGAGAGGACTTACACTTAATCCTAATCCTATTACCCCATTACCCTCAAATGGTCTTATACTTAACCTCTCAGCCCATAATGATCAAACACTGTCCGACAAGAGATGACCTCTCTCTCGGCTGCAAGGTATAGTGTTGCACTCTCTACTCACATAGATCCCGGGAATTAAAACATTTTGCAAACATTTTGAAATCATAATATATATATATATATATATATATATATATGTATGTATGTATGTATATCTCTATATAAATATATATTTTGCAAAACAAATTTAAACGGTTGAAATCAACTGCCGACAGTTTAGGTTTCCATCAGAGAGAGTGCATCCCCGATCATTCTCTTTGTCCGACAATGGGGCTGATCTTGTCACTATGATCACCCACTCAGATGAATTTTTTGACTGTCCCAACATACCCAGGTTTTGACCCCCTCTAAGGATCTCACTGATTGGCATAGTAAAGACAACCCAACCCGACACCTAGTGTAGTATCATAGTCAAGTCTAGGGGTTAGGTGTAACATTCCAGTTTTGCCTATCTGCCTCCAAGGTCTAGGGTAATATTGGAATTCTGGTCTAGTTCGGGGTTTCAAGAAAACCCACACTACATGTACCTCAGGTCTTTCCCTTGCAGATGAGATAAACCACCCCAACCAACTTGGCGGCACATCAGTGTTAGCCTTGGCAAGATAATTCTTCCCAGATCTATCCAACGGCTATGAAGATTCTAAAATAACACGAGTCTGACATGTGTCCAGTTTAAGGGTATTACAGAGAAACACACCATAATAGCATGAATCAAATATGTACTTTATTCATTTACATTAAATGTCATAATGTACATCATTCTAATTAGAGCTAAGGGCATACACTGTCTAATAGCTCCCACTTGCACTTAGGTCCAATCGGGTAAAAGCTGGAGTCCTAGACTTTCCACGTGTTTCTCAAACACTTTATGTGTCAGTGGCTTAATCAATGGGTCTGCCACATTCTCCGCTGATGCTACTTTTTAACATCAATCTCCCGTAGATCTAGTGTTGTCACACAACAGTGGAATGGGTGATGTGTTGAATTCCAAATTCCAGAATGAACACCTTCATTCATTAGGCAATCTCACTTATGGTAATGTGTTCGATTTTGGTTGTGGACTGTTATTCTTACTGCTCAGGACCCCTGTTTGCGGATTTTTCAGCAAACAACACACGATCTTATCGTGAAGATATAATTAGATGTAGATTTTCTATCGTCTGGATCTGACTAAAAATCAGCATCAGTATACCCCTGGATCTATAGTGAACTACCATCGAATACCAAACAAAACTCTTTTGTCTTTCGAAGGTATTTTATTATGTTTTTCATAACAGTCCAATGCTCCTGCCCTAGGTTTGACTGGAATTTGCTTACCACACTCACTGCTTGAGAGATGTCAGGATGAGTGCACAGCATGGCATACATGATGCTCATCATGGCTAAGGCATAGGAAACGTCTTTCATGCCCTCAATCTCTTTGGGAGTCTTAGGAGACATACCCTTGGAGAGAGTGACTCCATGCCTAAAAGGAACATTTCCTTTCTTGGAGTTCTCCATGCTGAATCTCTTGACTATTTTGACAATGTAAGCAGATTGAGATAATCCTATAATCCTCTTCAATCTATCTCTATAGAGTCGAAGACCCAGTATATAGGAGGCTTTTCCAAGATCTTTCATGGAGAATTGCTGCGAAAGCCATACTTTCACCATAGTCAACATTCCTACATCCTTCTCAATGAGTAAAATTCCATCTACATATAGAACCAGGAATGTAACCTTATCCCCACTGGATTTCCTATAAACACAGGGTTCATCCGGGTTTTGCTCAAAGTCAAATTGTTTGATGGTAGAGTCAAACCGGATGTTCCAACTCCTAGAAGCTTGCTTAATTTCATATATGAATCGGTTTAGTTTACATACCATGTGTTCCTGACCGGTAGCTATAAAACCTTGCGGTTGCTGCATATAGATATCTTCACTAAGATCTCCATTTAGGAACGCAGTTTTGACATCCATTTGCCAAATCTCATAATCATGGTACACTGCTACAGGTAGGAGGATCCTAATGGATTTATGCATGGCCACTGGCGAAAAGGTTTCCTCATAATTGATTCCTTCTTTCTGAGTGTACCATTTTGCCAGAAGACGAGCCTTGTAGG